AACTTTGGTTCCATTACCTACTTGGTTGTCTAAATTTACTCTAGGATGAAGGAGCAGTTTTTTTTCTCAGGTTAGCAATAGCCTGTATCTTGTCACTTGCCTCTAAATTCTTTCACCTCCTTTGATCAACAAGAAGAGGATATTTGGCTTCATCAGATAAAGCATAAAACAGAGAACATAATTTACCTTTGTGTAATATCTTTGGTAATTTTAGAAAAAAGGTACAAAGAATATAAATTAAGCTCCTAGAGGCTTTCCAACTAAAACAAAAATGAAAGCTTACAACCCTAGATAAATAAATGAGCGACAGGAACCTGGGTGCAGATGAAGTGTGGGGGTTCTGCAGACTGAGGGTGTACTGACCTATAACCATCCCTCATTTGTTTCCCAGTAAGCCCAGGGCTGACGAGAGCCCCATGTCTTCCACTGTTGTTAGTTTATGACACTGGGTTGGTGTGATGATATTGCATAACAAACTGTACAGAATTTGCACATTGGAAATTAACACTTCAGCATTTGCTGAACTCAGTCCTCATTAACTCCCATAACGAGTTCAATCTGAAATCTAATTTGCATTCAAACAGATTTAATGCCACCAAGCAGGACTGAACGGATGTTTAAATTCAGCGCCACCACTACTTACTTACAGCGAAGTTGCTCAGGGAAGCCAGCTTTCTGGCCATTTTGCAAACAAAGCAACCTACGCCAGTTATGGTTGTAACAACAGGGAGCCCGCGGCCCACTGCAACTTGGTCCTACAAGGGAGAGCCTTCCATGGCCATATTGTCAGTGTGATGATTATGGGATTTTCTTTCTCGGTGCTGCCTAGGTTTTCTTGTGCTGGTAAAATGCCGTTAAAATGCTATGGCATTTATTAAGAATGATGGCTGCCGCCAAAAAAAAAAAAAAAAAAAAAAGAAAAATCTAAAACAACCCCTTCCCACCCACCCTGATACTGCTTGTGGAATGAATCTGCATTGTTTCTAGAGTGTGTCTCCTCTATTTTTTTTTTTTCTGTCAGTCATTCTCTTTCTGGCAGGAGTTCATGTCTGTGTGACAGGACCTTCATGTGTATGTAGAGTGCAGCATTTGGGACCTTTTTGAAAAAGACCAAAACGGAATGTTTTCTGACTTTAGAGAAAACGTGGTGATATCTGAAGGAAACTCGAATGAGTGACAGAAAGCTACAAACGAGAAATGACATTCAGCTTTGTATAATAAAAACACCTATTAACATTCATCACAAGGTACAGAAAACTTGAAGCCTCCAAGAGGCCGTGGGCCCAAATGGAGGCCTGAGGTCAGAACTTAAAATGGTATAGTAGAAGCAAAAAAAAAAAAAAAAAGCAATACATTAAAAAGTTTGGGATAATTATTTTTAACCCCTCCCCCCAAAACACACACAAAGGCCTTCCCCATCCCAACTGGAAGCAAAAAAAAAAAAAAAAAAAAAATACCTGGCTTGGTCTTAAGAGTCATCAAAGTCGGTTCTCAAAAAAAAAAAAAAAAAAAAAAAAAAAATGGAGTAAAGGCAGTGATAATCAACATGCAGTACTGTGCAAATAGGTCGTCCATTGGAATCCTTAAATTCTGGGCAAAGGCTTGGTCTGCAGCTTAGGTGTACATGCTCAGTCGGTGTCCCAGTGTCGAATGTCGGCAGGACTGCAGTTCAAAGTCTGCTGCTAGAAGTGAATCAGTTTAACAAATTTACAACACTGATGTTGACTGTTAAAGAGAGGAAAATCCCAAGTACCAAACAAGTCCATCCAATGCACAGAGTACAAATTCCTTTTTTCAACAAAAAGTAGAAAAATCAAAAATACTCCCAAATGGGATTCTTGATGGCACTAAGAGTTAACACATTTCAGAGTTGTCAAAATGTAGTGAAAATCCTCCAGACTGTACAACAAATGGAGAACGCTTTCACTGCTAATTTTTGACAGGTTTTGTTTTTTTCGATCTTCCTCCTCGGGGGTCAGCCCGCCCAGACCTTCACTCCATGTCCTCATTTACTGGTTCGTCTTCATAATCTCTGTCATGGTCAAAATCTGGACTGTGGTTGGCTGTTGTCACTAAGGATAGAGGCCCTTCAGCTTCCTCTGGATCCAGGGGCTCTTCTTTGACATGTACAGGATGCCTGGAAAAACAAGAAGAGGTTCAGGGACGGAACTGCCCAACACGAGTCTGGGTTTTCTTAGGTGACACAGAAGCCACACTCCAGAACTGCAGAGTCCAATGCTGCAGTCACCAGCCACATGCGGTTATTTAAAGTGAAATTTAAAATTGAGCTCCTCAGTCACACTAGCCACATTTCAGTTGCTCAAGGGCCACCCGGGAATAGCTGTTAACGTACTGGACAAGGCAAAGACAGAACATGTATTACAGCAGAAAGTTCCATCGGGTGGTGCTGTTCTGGAAGAACTTAATACCCAAAGAAAGAAAATCTCTAGACAGAAGTAGATCTCCTGCATGGTGTTGCTTCTCACACTGGAGTGTGCACGTGCGCACCCTGTTAAAATGCAGAGTGTGATTCAGCAGGTCTGGGGCCTGAGACTCTGCATCCTAGCAAGTTCCCAGGTGATGCTGATGGTCCCAGGACCACACTCTGAGTACCTGACAACAGGCCCTGTGGTGGCATTCTGGTGAGGGTGAATACAAATCTTCAGGTAATTACATGAAATAAGAATCTGTAATGCAACGGTGGTTTGTGGAGACCACTGAGCGCGGGAGGCTGGGCTAATCATGGCTTGCTGTGTGTTCTGCTTTGCTAGTTAACATGCAGAACCTGTGAAAGAACTCTCCAGAGGACGACCCCAAGCGAGGTTCTATCATTAATCAACTTCAAGCAAACACAGCAAAGAGACACCATGATACATGCTTGAAACTCCAAATTAATGCATATTTTTACAAACTGTCAATAAGGCAAGAAAAGCCCTGCCAGGGAACACAAACGGAGAGGAAAAGGCGCGCTCAACACAACAATATGATAAGAAAGCAGGGCCCCGATCAGAATAATAACGCTGTCAGCTGTAAACAAGGCAAAACATGAGGCCCGGCTGGTAGCGGCCACCAGACTGCGCACGGCTGCGATGAGATCTGCCAACTTTCTCATTATGGATCAGCACCTGGTTCACTCAGAGGGGACTGCGGGTGATCACACAAAACCTCTCTGATAACAACTGAGAAATGTTGTTCGTAAATCATATTTACAACCAATCCTTTACAAATACAAATTACTCTTTGTTGCAGGTCTTTTGATATGTAAAAGAACCATTCACGTTTTTAAAAAAAAAAGTTCCATCGCTGGTACAGGCTGCAGAAGGGAGGGTTTTTTAATTGACGTTATCAGGTATTAGTAATAAGAGGTGGTGCTTGGGATGGCTGGCTTCCTAAATAATTGATGATGTATGCAAACCCCAAAGGCTGCTGGAACCATTTAAAAACAAACAGAAGAGCGCATTGGACTGTCCTGGAAGATGGAAACCTTCAGAAACCCAACTGACTCTAAAATTAGCGCAGTGTAGAAAGAGTTTGGGGGATAGATGTCAGGATAAATAGCTTTAAAAAATAATCATGCCCTTATTCTTAAAAAAAAAAAAAATTGCAAAACAATATAGTAATGTTGCGTTGTAGTACATTTTACATGTGGTTCCCCATCTATTTTTAGTTTTATTTTTTTTAAATTGTGCTTTAAGTGGAAGTTTATACACACACTGCTATGTGACCCTAGCTGCTTTCCCTATACTGTGACAGCACACTCGTCCTTCCCACCCCAGATTTCCCATGTCCATTCAAGCAGCTTCTGTTCCTTTTTGCCTTATCTTCTCTGGACAGGAGCTGCCCATTTAGTCTCATGTATCTACTTGAGCTAAGAAGCACTCTCTTCACGAGTATCGTTTTATGTCCCAGAGTCCAGTCTAATCTTTGTCTGAAGACTTGGTTTCAGTTCTGAGCTAACAGAGAGTCTAGGGGCCATGTGTTCTGGGGTCCCTCTAGTCTCAGTCAAACCATTGTCTGGTCTTTTTGAGTTCTGTACCCTACTTTTCTCCTGCTCTGTCAGGGACTCTCTGTTGTGTTCCCTATCATTGGTGATAGCTGGGCACTGTCTGGTTCTTCTGGTCTGAGGCTGATGGATTCTCTGGTTTATATGGCCCTTTCTGTCTCTTGGACTAATATTTTCCTTGTGTTTTTGGTTTTCTTCATTCTCCTTGTTTTTAGGTTTTTAATGGTCCTATCTGTCCATGTTTCTATGGTAAGACCCAAGGCTGGCTACATAATTTGTGGGGCCCTGTGCAGAATAAGAATGTGGGACTCCTAGTTCATATTTCAAGACAGCAACAGCAGAGCATTAAACCAAGGGTGGGGCCCTTCTAAGCATGGAGCCTGTGTACTGCACACACTTTATGCCTGTGAGGCCAGCCCTGGTAAGATGCCATGTGTTCTTTTGGGAAGAATTAGGTATATTGATTATTACTCCATTAAAAAAAAAAAAAAATCACTGATAAACCCTAATGTCTGTTGTTTTAGCCTATCCATTTGGTGTCATATTTTTACATAATGTAAGCACAACAGGCATGTTGCTGTTCTTGTTAGCTGCCATAGAGTCAAAATTGTTTTTATGTTGGCCCACTTTACAATGATTTTTATGGTTATAAGAGATTCCACTGTGTTGACGTATGTTGTTACTAGATACCGTCAAGGTGGTTCTGCCTCGTAGCGACCCCATGTACAACAGAACAAAACACTGCCCGGTCCTGTGCTATCAATTGTTGCTATGTTTGAGCCCGTTGTTGCTGCCACTGTGTCAATCCATCTTGTTGAGGGTCATTCTCTTAACACTGGGCATTTTGTGGTTGTCGTCTCCCCCCCACCCCACCCCATTTGCTATTTATATAATACAGTGACCATTTGTACCCATTAATCTTCCTACCTCTGTTGATTTACCTCCTTTGGATAAATTTCTGAGAATGGAATTGTCGGAGCAAAGGCCAAGACAACTTTATGGTTCTTATGATTTACTGTGTTATTAATTTCTAAAGGGGAAATATCAATTTAGACTCAACCTCATCAGCACTAAGTATTCTCTCTTAAAAATATTCTGTTGCTTAACAGGTATCATGTAAGCTCAGCTTGCCTTAAATAGCATCTCTTGGATTACTGACAAGGATGAACATTTCTTTGTGCTTCAGTTTTGTATTTTCACTTGTGAACTGTTACTTCATAAATGACCCCCTTTATTGCCACTGATCATAGGGTTCTATTGATGATCATTGGACAGGAGTGAATTTGTCTTGTGTTTTACTTAGATGTACATTGAGGTTTAAGTGTGCTTTGTCAACATTTTTCCACTTGCATTTGTTTATAACTATCAGATTTATTTATCTTTTCAGGTTAACAAACCTGAAAATATAAGCTGAACCCCATCTATAAGATGAGGTGAGGGTATGCGGAACCCTACAAGAAACTAAACAGACTTAATGAAGTTCTTTACTTTATAATTGTAGACTTTGGCAAATGTTTTGTTCGGCAAAAAGTAAATCAGATATCTGTTAAGTCCCTGACAAAACACAGTTGACAACATTAAAAGAATATTTCGTTTTTCCTCTAAATTTGGAGACAAAATTTGTTAAGACAGTTTACTATCTCCAAGACACACGTTATGACCCTATCATGCCTGTTGGCTCAATCCCAGTGCGTAAGGCATATTACAAACAAATTTTAACTGACTAATCTATTGTGTGACAACCCCGAGATACTAAGGCTTTGGAAAACGCTAGAAAAATGAAATCCAATTTCAGGGTATCTGTTGGGAAAAGTAGATACCCTCCCCGGGGTATGGCGAAAGTAGTACAGACATCCAGTGCTTAAGAATAAAACAGCACGTATTTCCATACCAGATACATTTCAAGTAAGATGCAAACTATGTAAGGAACGATACCTCACGCACACCCACCGAGTCTCCTAGTCACCGGACTACCACCCCCCTCTTTCTCTCCAGCTCCTACTTCCTAAAGGACTACCAATGAGTAACTCTGCAAAACCGCATATTCCCCTCCTTCTTACATCTGAGTAATTCCTTTGTTTAGCCACCCTTCGAACACAAGAGTTTTAAAATAAAGCTGACTGGTGTTTAAAGTCATTGTGTTCTGGGGGTGTGCACAGCATGGAGTATTTTGCTTTGTAGCCCCTTTAGCTCCCATCAGGATAAAAGTGTAACGCCCCAAAGCCATAATTATGTGACTACTTTCTAGTGTTTCAAAAGAGAACCAAAATGTAGTGGTATTTGAGTGTCACAAAAAGGGTAAGAATGAAGAGTTCTGTTTCAACACAACATATTAGCTGGGCTGTTGCTGTAAAGTTTAAGGCTTGATATATTCCAGTAGACTGGGACAGTTAAAAAAACGAAGAAAACAATTTGCATCATAGCAGGGTAATGCATATTGGACAAGAATGAAAACTGTCATTACAGAATTCACTTAATGGAAGCATTGGGTCAGCAGGAGTAACTGTGACGCTGATAGGAGGCATAGGGGATCTGCTGTTGACATATAATTACATTCAGCACAAGCATAAACCTCTGAGAATGGAGCAACACACTGTCTGCAATTGTGACACCTTCATGTAAGGTTTGTTTAGAAAAAGAAAGCAGTTGAAACCTTTGTTTCAGTCAAAAGTCTGATGAGTGTTGTACAACATTTTTGGTAATATGGGGGGTTAATTCAAAGTTGTTAAGTCAGAGTCTTATTTACTTTTGTACAGCAGAATTAGCATGGCCCTGAAACTGTTGCCTGTGTGGTTTTTACCCTACTTATCTCTCTCTTTTCTTCTAATGATTCTTTGTACTAAACAATAGGAATATACGTCAACTAAATCTCTCAGTTCTTATAGATTATGAGAAATACTCTCTCTTCCATTCAGTAACTTCAGACGTTCTTCCTCTAATGAGTATTTCTTGAAGTAGCTTATATGCCAATTTACATTTGCTCTGAACTTCCTCAGTATCTGAGTAAATACGCCTGTCATCACAGTGATTTAAAGATGAGTATGAGTGTGATAACAATGATGTCGGAAACACTAGGTTGCTTTAGAAAGTATGAAATACGGCAGCATCAGCGTGAAAGATAAACACATTCTTAAAATGTTGGGAAGTAAATGCTGAGAGACTGCTCATATAAATTAAAAAGTATTATTTCCATCTTTAAAGATCCTTTTCAAAGCACTTTGGGCATGAAATTCAAATGCTGGGAAGTCAACTTTCAGATTCCCCGAACCCTCCAATTATGCTGGCAGACAGCACTTTGTTTTTCCTCGTCGTCATTAGATGCCAATTCATTCTGCTTCTAATTGCTACAGGTCATATTTTCCATTCCTATCACTCAAATTATCTTAAAATAAGATGTCGGTCAGTAACTCAGAAAGAATGTGTAGACAAGGGGCCTGTTCTAGGAGCTGACAGTACTGCAAACATTGAACTGGTTTATTCCCTTCGAGTGGGCAAGAGTGTCATGGGAATGCACTGAACACCAGAGGCTGGGTCATTCCACAGCATCCTCTGAAAAGTCCAATCACTTGGGATAATGTGGTTTCTTTTCTCTGTCTTCTCATCTTCCTGGGAGAGAGGGGGTTATTTATAGGCACACCAATTCCCTCCATCACCCACTGGCAGTGGCATCAGAGTCTTAGATTGCCCAGCTCTGGTGCCATTCCCATTCAGCCCGGCCAGCCATCGACCGTCCCTTCATTCAGTTATATGTGCACTCATTATCCTGCCGTCTGCTGCTATAATGCTCCTATTAATTTTCCTTTTGATATTTTAAGAGCAATCTATAAATCACACTGCCTTTCATTTGTGCCATCGTTACGGCTTGGTAATAACGCAGCGCCACAGTCACGGTGAAGCCTGCTGCACAACCAAGTAAACAAGCACCTCCTTCTCCCTGCCAACTTAGTTGGCCTGAAAGGTGAACAAACTGCAAACCTCCTCACAGAGAGTTATACTAATTTTAGGAGGACAAAAAAGGAATGCAGCTTAAATAATGGCCTGAGATGCAAGGGAGGGAAAGAAAGCAAATGTGTTTCCCATTTTACTGCTGCATACTCTTGTAGGGCTGGATGAAGGCTTTTATGGGAAAGTTAGCAAATGGTCCTTTTATGCACTAACTGAACTAAACATTTCCAGCACCAACTTCTACCTGGGCCGTAGGAAATCAGAAATTATGAACAAAGGTGTAAAAACTGACAGAGAAGGGCTTGGCGTGCACATCACACAGGAAGTATGGGCTTGAAAGCACAGATCTCCTGGAGGCACAGTACTCACACGGCTTGCATAGGGGATCGGCCTGGACTGCTGTCACTCTCGTTGCTGTTGGTATGCTCCATTGCGCCGTTCAGCTCTTCCCGTATGGCGCTGGCTAAGTTGCCCAGAGTGGGATTTCCCATGGAAGCGGTAGTGTATAGAGGTATACTATTCTCAGCCATTGAAGCCTGCCATCAATCAAGAGAAAATTTATGAAGACACAGGATATGCACAGACAGGGAAACTATTCATTATGGGTGTATGCAATAATCTCCTGTTTCAGTTCACTGTAGTGTGATTGGCAAACACAAGTGTGTACTGAGTGTATAGGACTTTGAGTTCAGACCAAGACTTGTGGCACATGTCCCCAGCCTGGTTTTGAAGAGCTAGCTGGGGGGACCAAAGCACTGGAATGAAGGACTCAATCTGCCCCTGCTGGGTAGAGTCACATGGTTCAGATGAGGCTATCTAATATGAGGAGCAAGATGAGGTTTATGTCTGATGCCTTTTTTTTCAAGAAGAACTGAATATTTCCAGATCACAGTGAAATATAATGGGATTTTCATTTCTTTATCCATTTTGATGACTCCACTATTGGATATTAGAGATTTGATCAGATTATTCTGGCCACATAGCTCAAACTTATGAGAACTTCCATAAACATTTACCTCTTAGGTCCTATAGAAAAAGAAGAGATTATAGAATCGAATCAAGTTTTATCTTTTCCCCTCCTCATTTCCGTTTTAATGGTTTTTGAATCTGTTTAGCGTAGTTTGAGATAACTGGTGGAAGGTAGCGCCATGCAATCTTTCAGACTCAGACCAATCTTCTGGAATTTTAGGACTGAAGAAAAAAATTCCTGGCAAAAGGAAGGTCTAATCTTATTTCTTTTTGGTATTTCAGTATGTCCATATGAAAGGTGACACTGTCACTCCAAATGAGTGTCAGCAAAAAAGTGTGAAAATGGGGTTGGGGGGGTGGGAGAAAGAAATCCTAAACTCTATAGTGGGACATTATTCATTTCCTGTCCTACTGCACTTGAATAAACTGGACACCCACTCTGAAATGCAAACAATAGTCAAATATATCACTGGATTCAAGCAGCCATATTTGTTTCATTTGGGTAGTAATAATTATGACCCAGTGCCTTTTCATTTTATTACAGAGGACAGACTTTCAAAAACTGGCAGCTGTAATTTATCAAAACTGTCCTCTTACAGACTATACTATGGCTGGTTTTCCATTCTAATGAGAAAAAAGTGCAATCACAAGACAATCTGGCATGGTGTCTTCAATTGGCCAGTCATACAAGAGTCCAAAATATTCTAGAAATCCTGGCTCTGAAGAGAAAGTAAGAGCCAAAAATGAAGACAGAAAGAAAGGTTGCAAAGCTGGGCTGTTGGGATCTGCCTGTTACAACAGCTGCAGTCTCACTCACAGTACAAAACCCAAAGGCAGAAACGCCTTCTAGATACAAGGCCTGTGTTGAAGACCTACACACAGTCACCTAACCCAGCCTTGGCTAATGAACTATTTCCAAGTCAAGCCCTCTGCAAGCCACTGCTTTTCCTTCCCTCCATTTCTGAATCTGTACGTCTGCCTTCTTTTAAAAAGTGGAAAAAAAAGTTTTAATTTCCAAATGTGGTGAACTCATTTTGATAAACATCAATTCTGAGCATTCACCACTTTCCTACACATCTCTTATAATTGCAATAAAGCTTTTTTTCCCCCTTGTTTTGGCAGAGCAAGGAACAAGAGCAGTTGCCAGAATTATTTTCTTTGCAAACTGCAGCTGGACAAGCATCTTAACTTCCTGTATTTGAGACAACACAGTGGTCACGCCTCTCCCAGTCATGGAAGTTCTGCTAGGATGATCATCCAAGCCTCTTTCCACTGGAAACATCACAAGATCAGCTCTCACAAGATTAATGTTACTACTACATGGTAAAAGCATGTGTCCTAAACATGTTTGATTCCTTAAAGAACTGAAGTCTAGTTGAAAGATACACAGTGAATGTCACCTGTAAGTAGATTTCACAGGTAGGATGACCAACTGTCCAGTTTGCCTGGGATTGAGGGTATTCTGGGGATATTATGCTAAAACTGCTAAATGCTAAATAATAAATAAATAATAATAATAATAATAAATAAATGCTAAAACTGGGGAAGTCCCAGGCAAACCAGGACAAGCTGGTGACAGCACAACTTTCTGGGAATGACTGTTTGCTCTGGCTCTCAAAGTGTTCTAGGTCAAAGTCATTTCTGATAAAGATAGAATCACAAAACATGGCCTGAGGCTCTCCAGTCACAGTGGCGAAATGCATCTAATGGGCAAGTACTGGCACTGATGATCCATAAAGATGACAGCCAAGAAAACCCCATGGAAAAGTTCTACTCTGTAATACATGAGGCCCCCATGGGTCAGTGGAAGCGACTAGACGGCAACGGGTTTGGTCTTTTCATTTTACATTGGTCCTCGCTTGTCAGACAAGAAGATGTAAGTGAAGAAAAACCTGCTTGTCCTTTCTGTGTCTTTAAAAGAAATGTTCAAATGGGGTGCAAAAAGAACCTCATAACCAGAAACCAGCTGCCATCGAGTCAGTTCTGACTCATGGCGACCCCATGTGTTACAGAGTAGAACTGCACTCCGTAAGGCACACACGTAGGGTCGGTCACCGTAAGTTGCAGTCAACTTGACGGCAACTGGTTTGGTGTGGATATGCAATAGAGCCACTTGAAAACTCTTCGTTGAGTGAATGACTACCATCCCGCCTAAGGCTAGAAAATTTTTCAACTACTTATGCCTAACAAAGTGGTTCTTTTTTTTGTAGTTGATGTCCACTTAGAAGCAGATGAATAACAATTTCTATAATGGACTTAATTACATAAATGGTCCTATGCGCAGTAACACAGTAAGAGGCATCCTATCAAACTGCCATCTTCACCAAAAAAAAAAGGTGCTTAAGTAGTAATGGTGCGGGGGTCTGTAAGTACCGCCACTCCCAGAACATTACCACTGCGAGATCCTTGGAGGGGAAAAGGCAGACTGTAAATATGAAGCTTTACGGTTACCCTTAGTTACTTCACTTTTTCAGAGCATAATGCAATCTGTCCCAAGTCCCATGTTTTATTTCTGTAGTGGATTCTGCTGTCCTATTTTATACGTTGTATATCATCCATTATGTTGCTCTAGTATTTTTTTTAAAGAGATTGTTCCACCATTATTTTTACTTGTCTTGAAAAATAGAAAATGGGTGATCGCGGAAAGGAAGGCCGGCTGGTAGAATCTTTATTTAATTTGCACGGCAGCAAGTTGTCGTTATGATATTGTCTACTGATCAAGCGTCCAAGCTCAGTGAAAAAAACCCAAACCCGCTGTTGTCAAGTCTGACTCACAGCGACCCTATATAGGAGAGGGGTTACAATCCACCCCTCAAATTAGAAATTAGGAACGGATACCAATTCATTCGCTTCACTTCAGTATGGACATAAAGTGTTCTTGGAAAACCGCCAAATAGTTTTGGGACTATCCTAAGAAAGCAGAAAGGGTGCAGGGAATGCAAAAAACAAATTGTCTTAGAGATGAAGAGTTTTGCAATCATAAAGCAGCTCACTAATTGAAATTAGTCACATAACTCAGAATCCAGAGGATGGAGGATAACTGCTTTTTTTTTTAACCTTTCTGCCTCATGAATGTAAAATGTGCTTGTAATCTTAATACTGTTCCAGACAGAGCAGGCTTTAAATTCATACCTCACAAGACTCCAGGGAAAATAAGTTACTAATGAGTGGTATTTACAGTGTCGGCATCTAAGCTTGATCTAAGCTTGCTCTCCTTTGCTTTCCTAAAGTTACTGCGTAAACTACAAGTAATTAAAAGAAACGCACAAAGTCGTTTTTCCCATTAAATTCGGTTTGGGCTAAAAATAAATAAACGATTATTGAAATGGCAAGTTCAGGGAATTTGCCTCTACTGTAACTGCGCATAAGGCGGGTCCATCCATTGTGGGGAGCCCCTTCTGAGTGAGCTGGGTAAAGAATTCTGTAGGGCACATGGTAGGTCCTCAAGAAATACTTGGTTCACGACTAGACAGAATCAGGTTTCCCATCATCATTAGCTTCTCCCACTCTGTTCTCATAAAGCAGTGTTTCTCAACCATTTTCTTCACTGACTGCCCTCGAAGGGGCCTGCTTTATACTTTTTTTCTCCTTATTTGTCACTTCTACCCACTCTGCCCTCAATGATATTTCAATACCATAGATACGCGGTATATCTGTTCACGTACTGAGGCTCTGTGGAAGGTCACAAGTCATTGCAATAGTGAAGAACCAATTTTTGAGTGATATCGCCCCATTGAGAATGCATGTCCTAGTATCGAATTATAAATGTCACATTTATCTTTAGAACACGTCATGTTTTCGGTTGTTGTTAGTTGCCAATGAGTCGATTCCAACTCATGTCAATCCCATTTGCTACAGGGTTTTCAAGGCTGTCACCTTTTGGAAGCAGATGGCCAGGCCCGTCTTCCAGAACAGCTGGTACAGGATACTGCTTACCTATCAACTCTTGCGGAGGACTTTAATGAAGTGATACTGGAGTATTCTCCAAGACTTAAGAGGTAACTTTTCTCTGTGGTAACTGAGAAATACAGTCAATAGGAGGCCTCCCCTGGTAATGCCTAGTTGGAAGGGAACCTCAGTCCCGCTCCACACCCCCGTCTTCATCCCCCAGCAACGCTGGTTGTATAACAAGTGCATAGTGTGCCAGGAGGAGACCAACGTTGTGTGTGCTTATTATGCAATCTTGAGCAATCTGCTCAAAACCTAAAGGGATGTTCTTAAACACCTCTATGTGTTAAATAAAAAGTTTACTTTTATAAAACGAGCCACATCCCCCCCAGACAAAAGAAAAGATGTGCCAACAGACTTTAAAAGAAGTAAAAAGCTCTGCGTTCTCTTTAAACCCGTGAACAAAAGAAGGTCACGTGACACAGTGGCCTATCATCCAGCACATTAATAGCTGTGCTAGAGTAATTACACTTGTGGTATTTTTGCCTCAAGTGAAATTCTGAAATAAGAGGATGGAAATTATGATACTGCTGATAAATATTAATAAGTGAACTTTTAATTTTTTTGCCACAATATTCAAAATGCTAAGCATCCTGCTAATGCTGAAGCAGCCCGATGTGTTTGCCTCCAGGGAGTGCGATGCTTTGTGCACTTAAGAAAAAAGTTTAACGGAATTAAAATTTAATGTCTAATTAGAGCGAGGCTAATATATTTTGAAATGAGTGGGGGAGACGTGTGCCTCTGTTGCATATTCGGGATGGCTATAATCTTACCTGTAAAGCCGCATTGAGAGGTGTGCAGTAGCTGTGGCTGCTCTGCATGTTTTTAATAAGGGAAGGGTTACTGCATAAGAGAAAGATAAAAAACGCAACGTTAAACGCAATCAACTCCCGAGCTCTTAGCTAACTTTTCTTTCAAGCTTGCTGGTATCCTTCCAAATCAGAAATTTCTCCCAGTGACTAAGCCAAAGAAAAATAAGACTTTATTCCTCTATCCCTTGGCTTTATAGGGCTGGTCTGTGTTAACACCTCTGGGAACACTGGGAACAGGCTTTGCCCGTAGAGGAATCTGGGTATAAATTCTGGCTAAGTAATAACAGGCCGGGGCACTAGATTCTGGATCCCGCAAATTTTTAGGAGTTACCCTGACACAGAGAGAGAAGCAGCAGGCTGAGATATTGTGCTGCTGGGGTGGTCAGTGAGCTGATGGCAGGGTTTCCTGGGAGTGAGTGGGAGAAATCTTGGCTCTTAGGCATCTTCATGATTTGAACTCTAGAACTCTAGATTGACTATTCCAGTAATGAATGGCAGACTGGCTCTGGAGGAAGACCTCCAAGCACGTTTATGGCTTAGGGCAGGGGAGGCGCCTTCTTAAGTAACAGAAGGTCAGGTTTCAATCCTTCTTGTAGAACCAAGTATGGGAGGGTGTGGGGAATACTGGATGCTGTCTCCAGTAACTGAGTAAATGAAGACAAGATACCGTCTAGACTAGTAAGTCAAAATGATCATACAGAAGACACAGAAGGAAAGGAGGGGCTTCCAGTAGGAAATTACATCCACTTAGTGGTGGCCTTTATAGGAAGGGTATGCACTGTTATTAATTTCTTTCCTCTGCTTGAAGCATTTTAATCATTATTTCATTACATTTATATTATTATGCTGAGTGAGCAAACAAGAAGAAATGACTGCACATTCTAACTTTAAAGAGTTTCCTTTTTCACTTGGAGGACTTATGGGGTCACGCAAAAGTATTTAGTGTTAGGGTCCCCGTAAGCTGCTGAATTGAGACACAACCAATATTTGCATTCAAGACGTCAAAAAAGCATTATTCAAGGCACTGGTGTTCCAGAGAAACGAGAGAATTACATGTACAAATCACACACTTTAGTTCCGTTGCAGAAAGCCGGGGCACTGCTACGTGGTGAAATGTAAAATACATGGGATGAGTCAACCATGCAAAGCCAAAGCAACAGCAGAAAAAAAAAACAAAAGCAAGTAAAGGCTCTTACTGTGCGACAAGCTCGTCAAAGTTTTCATCGGGGCAGTATTTGCGAGGACGGCCTCGTTGAATATGGCGGCCACGTTTAAACTCTTCATCATCAACTGTCCAAAAGGACCCAAACTCATCCTCTACTCTGATAAAGCACTTATGCAGTGAGAGGTTGGTGCGAATGGCACCCTGGGATAGGAGCAGCAGCAAAGGAGATGAAGTGGCAACAAAAGGAGACGGGGTTGGGGGCAGAACAGACATCCAATACAGGGAACAGGAAAAAGAAAATAAAATGCAATAAGCATAAGCAAATGGTTTGTGAGGGTTAATATGCATTGCCACCTAAAAGCTACTAGCATGTGATGCAACAAAGACCAGCAAGCAGGGCAGGGGGACTGGTGGGCATACAAAACAGGAGGGATGAAATGCTTTTTTGCTTCCCTTAACTGAGACAACGTGAAACCAGTTCTTTGGTCTAACACCATCTAGCAGCCAAAAGCCTCTACGTTATACTTGTTAGCACAATCCAAGCTAGGCTAAGAAGTTCAAACATGGTGGACGTACCCACTGATCTTTTGTGGCCTTCGTTTTTGGAATTCTACTTCATCCACTGTCCATACTGCCCCTTTAACGTTTTCTACTCGCACAAAACACTTGTGAAGGCTAAGATTATGACGCACTGCATTCTGCAGCAAGTATAAAAGAGAAAACATTATATTTTCTATAAGAAAAGACTCCAAAAACAGCAGTAAATTCAGCCTAACAGTCCCCATTTGTAAAACCATCCCCAACAGCTATATCTGCCACCCCTGTGGATGGCCTCCTGGTGGTTAAGGGTGTCTTTTCCAAAAGCAAAGTTTAAAACACCAAAAGCATGAACCGTACTTTAGCGTTTTAGTCTAGTCTCTGGTCGTAACTAACAACTGGAAGAAATTTTTTAAATATGCATACAAGCCCAAAATAGGTTTCACAGTACAAATCCAAAACTATTGTTAATGACTTCAAAATAAGCTCTAAGCCCTTAAAAATTGTTGGGTAGTTTTTCTTAACATGAAAGATGATGACTCAGTTAACATTGTTAAATAGAGTTTTGTTCTTGAAGATTTCCATGGTCTTCTCTGATTAAGAATAATTCTAAATTGGATTTTTACCACTGAGAGTATTACCTTGTGTAACTGACAGGACCAGGCACTGAAGTGACCCCCAGTGGATCAGTGTCCATCATGATGTTACGTTTTACCTCTCTGAATATATAGGAAAGTTGGCCCTTACTAACTGAGGAACTGCCAAAGGGACACATGGGTAGAACTCTCAATGGCAAAATGATGATATTCCTCCTCAGCTGATGGTTTCTACAGATACATGTTTTCTTTCTTACAGTTAAACATCACTTCTGGTCATTCCTAAGCTGAGACCTTTGATATTGACAATCGATCAGGAAGGACGAGCTCAACTCAAGGTTGAGGTACTTTTCACACCTCGTAACAGCTCGTCTTTCCTCTGAGTTTCAGGAAAATCCACAACCCTTACTGGGTATAATAATAAGCATGGCTTCATTTCTTTAGTTCTCCTGATTGAGCTTACTGACCAAGACTAAAACATAGGACATGAGGGTATTCCAAACAGTCACATGTTATGTACTGAAACTCTCTTGTTACACAGAATAAGTGCGTGACCCAATTGGGGCATGAGAAGTTGATGTATGCATCACCCCTCACATACCTTGATAAGCCCTTCCTTCCATTTCAATAATGCTGCTACTGAGCAAACATTTTACACCCTACCTCTTCCACCACCTGTAACACTCCCTCACTAAGTTATCCTTAAAGGTGGCCAATCTGGATACTTTGGTGTTTCTTACATGTAGTGACTTTGTGGGGGTTCATTTTTTTCCTCAACATGGAATATTTAGAAGATACTGACAAAATTTATCACATGGTGTGAAGGACTGCTCACAAGAACATCTACAGGATAAATTCCATTCCCGAGAGTGTCTGAGCAATGTCAGCATAACTGGGGCAGATTACATAACTGGGGCAGATTAAAGACGCCAAAGCGACTATCAAAGGACACCCCCTGAATCAAAAGTTTGACAGGTTATCTTAAAAAAGTTTGACAGGTTATCTTAAAAACAAAAAAAAAACATTTGTTAGTATGTTTAGGTGGCAGGACAAATTTCTTTGGCTATGAAGTGTAGCCTGGCCTTTAAATAAGCATTTTCTTTTAATAAGCATTTTCTTTTATATTGTACAAAGGCACAGCATCAGGGTCTGAAATTATCTCCTAGAACACCACCAAGGAGGTTCAAATAAGCGAACAAAGCCACCCAAATTTCCTTAAGAAATGCAGACAAAGCATGGCATGTTTACACATAGAAGAATCACTGGGAAAGAAATATCCTCATTCCTAATTATTGTGTGATGTTTGAAAATAATTTACCAGAGTATCAAAAGGTATAGAACTAAATGGTCTGCAGAAGCTACTTCTGGGCGAAAAAAAAAAAATTTCTGAAGATCTGCCTTTGCTATGTTTTCCCAGACTGCACATCTAAGCATAAAGAAACTAGAAATCAAGAGCTCTCTAAAACGATGATTAAGCTCTGTTCAGTCATAACTTTAACTAGGCATGTAATCTTTTGTCTATGATCACAGAACAAATAAGGACACGTAAGGAAAATTATATGTATATATGTTATTTATGATTTGTTAAGGACTTCATTTAGAATTGTATATATTAATGACGCTTTTGCCTACAGTTTGAAAAAATTTGTCTGAAGATTTGACCTTAAACATTATATTCACTTAATATTTTTTAATTTGATCATTTGTATTAATAAAAGGCAATTTGAAGAAAATACTTCATGTTTATACTGCTAAATTTCGAAAAGCATTTTTAACTATAAGAGTTAGGCTGAGGAAAAGAGGGTAAGATTCTGAACATACACTCCCCTCAGTGCCCATGGTCTTAATGGCAATGAAAGGATAAACAGATATTCACAGCTCTGTAAAGCTGATGAACTAATTCTATAGTTAACATTCACTGTCTTTTAAAATGCTAATTTGTCAAGAACTCAACAAAGGAAATATGTTTTTTCCCATATAAAATTACGGAATTCACAAAGGCAGGCATTTATTTCAAGCAAAGCAAGTTTTCTTTGCATCCTATAATAAATCCCTATCCTATTTAAAATAATAACTTGTAAAATATCTTAAAACATCTTGCCTGGAGCATAGCGATTACAAAAATTCCAAGTAGTAAAAATGGAAAAAATAAATGGAAAGAGGGGAAATCCAAAAACTTGTGAGGGCTTACTCTAATACAGTAACAATAGAATAAATACTAATGGAATCCGTGAACCAGCTGCTGAACTAGGAAAGCTTCCTCAGAATGAGGTTATGTCATGTGACCCGAGGCACTGTTGGAGGCATCCAAGTGGAGCTATGGAATTTGACCAGTTTTATAACAAATGATGTAATAATGATGATGCATAATTCAGAAGCTACTTTTCTTCCTGGGTATTTGTGGTTCTCTGAGAGACAATCTCTCAACTTCAACACAAAAACGACCTATTTAATACTACACTGTGTTCTCCGTTACTATCTCCCATACGTAATAAGTGCTAGTTCTTGGATTGCCTAGCTTTCTCCACTAAATGGGCTTTTATCCAACCGATGAAGGTTGTGTCAAGTTTGTCTGAGCATTTCTCCAGGTTTCATCTGGTTAAAAAAACAAGTTAATTATGCATCTCTGCAAATACTGGCTGTGTTAAAAGACCTATAAAGGAGGAGTTTCGTGTAAGTTGTAGGACAACCTCAACATACAGGGCCATCTCCTTTTCCCTACAGATTCTGACCAGAGAGCGATGGTTTTATTCGTTGGCCCATCTGACCCCAGTGTAACGGGAGTCTTCCATGGGAACATTTCAACTACAATGGAACTATTTCCTCAATCAAATATACCTACAGTTGAGCGGTATCAATACAAATTTATAATATAAACTTGCTTATGGTACCAACAACAAATTCTACTCTATAAATGGCAAGAACCAAGGCTAAATAGGCCGAACCCACCTTCCACGTGGCTGCATTTCGCCGGAAGTAAGCAAACATTCGTGTGAACCAGTTATAAATTTCGTTTAGTGTTAGCTGCTTTTCTGGAGATTCGAGAATGGCCTGTGAAGCAAAAAGTAACAGGAAAAGATACTTTATGACCAAATCAGCAGAACTGTCATTATTGTCATTATACAGTTTCTTGAAAGTATAAAATAACAGTGATTCAGAGCTAAATCGTAAGAAAGGTTTCACAAAATGATCTAAGATTAATGGTTGTATTTAACAGTTCAATAGCAAAATTCAAAACGGAATTATCTAATTGTTTTGAGTTTTTATTTCTGTTTCCGTACAGAAATATTAATTTATTAGTCATTCACAAAGCAGAATCAAAGAGAAATGCAAAACATTTCACTAGCTGATTAAAGCTCAGTAATTATTTAGAGCTCAGATTAATCTAGGGATCAGAGATTACTGTAGCTTGTGATAATTGACTTGCCATCTTTAAACAGGCTCATTTTCACTGTTGTGTGAAATGGGTTTCCTAATAATCATATCATATTGTAATACTTAATCAAAAGCAATTATATATTACAGTTTTAAAAAACCTTATAGAGAAGGTTTGAGCATGCTTGCATACTAAATGGTTTTAAATCTACTTCATCAGTATGACATATCCATGTATATGTACACCTTCTGATATAATTTACTTACCTGCCTAATTAAAGATGCATATGTAAATGGTGGTCTAACTTCGGCGTTCTTATAAAACTCTTGGTTCTGCGCAATATCTGCTAAATAAGAATCATTGTCCTATTAATCATCACTTTTGAAAAACAGGCTGGTCTACAAGAATTGAATATTATAATTCTACATGAGGCAAAAATGAAGTATCTACCTGAAGTAATGGGCACATTGTATTTGTCTGAGTACCGCCTGCGGATGGGTCCCACCGTGTGCATGCTGGTGGTGGTGATGACGGAGGGGCCTTGGGTGACAGGAGTGATGGGAGTGGTTGGGGTTGTTGGAGTATGAGGTAAACTCTGTGGAGAAGCCTCTGATGCAGACTTGGAGAGTGTGACACTTGATACTAGGTTCAGCTGTAAGGAAAAGAACAATTAAATCTTGGACAACCTTCAGAGAAACAGAGTGAGAATAATACAAGGGATGCATGGCCAGCTTTACTTCCAAAAGTAGGTAAGTTTTTCCACCACCAAATGCTGTTAACTCATGGCAGCCCCATGGATGTCAGGTTAGAACTGTGCTCTATATACCGGTTTCAATGGCTGATTTTTGAGAAGTAGATCACCAGGCTTTTTTTTGGAGGTGCCTTTGGATGGACCTGAATCTCTCCCAATCTTTCGGTTAGCAGCCAAGCATGTTAACCATTTGCACTACCCAGGGACTTAGATATGTTTATAACCAAGTGAAATACAAGTCATTTAGTATTTAGAATAAAACATTTCTGGCACTATTGTCCTTGCCTTTTGGTGAGATGTTTTCCAAAGCAGGTGTTTACTGGGGTTACCTAGCCAAATGAGTTTGAAAATTCTGGAACAAAACAAATTTCTTTAATCACAACTTCTCACCGTCTTCAACAGCTTAATATGCTTTATAAACCTCAAAGAGGGAGATGGTGTTCTTGTAGCACCAGTGCAGACCTATGTTTTAGGAAACATCAGTTGGAATACACTGGTATACATCCGAACTGTCCAAAAGAACTTTCTGCAATGACATGCTAGTGCAACTATTTTAATTTTTGTTAAGTTAAATAGCCACACGTGGCTAGTGGCTACCACACTGGACAGCACAGAGATAAGCTATCCAACTCCATAATGAAAGTTTACAGATGGGAACGACTGGAAATATGTTTGGCCCATGGCTCATATTAAGAAGAGAGGCACTGATCCAGTAAGCCTGCGTTTATTTCCATCAGTTGGCAGAGACTAATCTTTAAAAGCTTTCTGTGTAATCTTCATTAAACTCCATCAAATATGGGATTGGAATTTATTAATTTAAAAAGAATATGGCATATGAAAGATCTGAAACTGCAGGATTTTTTTCTTCAAATTTCAGTATTCAGAAATAATACACTGCAATAATCTAACGCATCAAATAAGGAAGTAAATATTATGTATTTTAAGTAGTATAAGGGAAAATGAGGAAGTACTGTTTTGACTCCATCTGTCTACCTATCTTATCCATCTAGCTATCTACTGTATCTCTTTCACCTTCACCTCAAAGTGCTGTTCTTAGAAATGGACTTGTCCCATTTTCAAAAATTTATTGGTACAAAAATACTATTTTAAGTCTGGCTGTGTTAAAGAACTTGATTGTTTTCATTCAGACACAACTGCTCTCTCAGATACACAGAGCCGCCCCAAAAATCCAAGAAACTTCACCAAAAGTAGGTTTTGGTGTTGTTCTTGGTGACATATTCTTAACCCAGATTTCAAATTACTTAATGCAATAAATCTATTTCACAATTGCTCCAGTCCTAAGTACAAAGCATTATTGGTGGAAGCGATTAAAATTGAGATTCCCTTGTGATCATAATCAAAGAACACATAAAAAGAGTGCGCGAATCTGTTGAGAAGAATCAACCTCTACTCACACTCTAGTATCGAAAAAGGCCAGGAGGATTCTCTGATATGTTTAGGAAAGTTCCATAAAAACACAATGAGTGTGAAGAAAAGGAAGCTAAAATATTATTGGGGAAATATTGATGGAAAAATGTAAACATGGCGCTGGAAACTGTAATACTGGGTTGAGAGCTGTTAGTTCTGCTTTCCTTTTAGCTTGAAATGTTTGCTCAGCAGACAACAGACACCAATGTCTGAGAAAAGCAAGCTATGGAGATGCCATGGCCTTTACAAATCCCCCATCAAGAGATGCTATGAGCTGCTTTCTCGACAGTGGTGGAGACTTGATTTCATGACACACATTTGCAAACTAAGTATGAAAACTCTGGTTGGCAGCCATGGAAGGAGGCGAGTTGAGAAGCCAAGAGGAAAGGTCTGGGTTTGACCTCTTCTTCGCCTTGGATCTTCAGATCTTAATCACTGACAGTACGTACAAGCATCAACCCAAGCAAAGGGGTCAAGGAAATTAGGGCACGAAAGGCTAATGCTCATACACTTTGGAAAGCCATGAATGACATCTGTAAAAATCATGTTTTCAACCACCTGCCACTGTAGGGTTTCATTTAATTCTCATACCAACCCTAAGAACTAAGATGTTATTCCTCATGTTTTACAGATAAGCAAACTGAGGCTTGGAGAGATTAAGTAACTTGCCCATATTCACCACCTGAAACCAACGTCAAATACACACGTGTGATTTTAAAAATCTTTGCATAATCTTTTTATGCCCAGTGAATGGAAAAATAAACATGAAGCAGTTTCACTTTCTTGTATGCTCATTTGTGGAAAGCATTCAGTGAAGAGCTTTTATCTCAGCTTATGAATGTGATTCAATAAATATCTTTTGAGCAAATATAAGGCAGTATAGTAAAGAAAGCCCACAACTGCTGTCCCTGAAGAGCTTACCACCAAATGGAGACACTGGGCCAAGGAAAACGTGCATGGCAACCATACAGCAACCCTGAGGACTAGCTCAACGTTTAGCCTTCTCTTTTCCCATTACCCTAAACAGCTTGACTTTCTTAAAAGCAAAATGGAAATTATACTATAAACACAAGTGTCCTTGAGAAATAGGAATGTTAATTTCCAGTTTTGTGAGGAAAATCACCGAGTCCCCTGGGTTTTAATGTAACTGCCACAAATCAAAACTCATGGAAAACACTCACTGCGAGGTCATCTCCTTAAAGAATAGTAGACAAGCCACACAATACGACAATATAATGTTATCGAATGTCAAAAGAACTGGACAATCGTAGCTTAGGAAGATTCAGCATTGGGACTGTTTCTACCAAAAAAGCTACAGTGAAAAGCAAGTCCCTCCAGGTTAGCACGACTCACGAAGGGGAACAGGTAGGATTTCCAGAGGCTTCTGAACATAGGTAGCAAGTGGCAATAAAACACTAAGCCAGAAGAAAGCAGGGAGGGAGCTTACCAGGCTTGACAAATGACACCGTGATTCACACCCACTGCTAGGCCGTCTCTAATAAGCCACAGAGGAAGCAGCCAATCTCAGCTAATTACCAGATAAAAATGTATTGTAAGGACTCTAATTAGGAGACGCGTATGGAGGTGATCTAATGATTAAATGCTGCATTCGAGTGACCCCACCATCAATGTGCAGTGGTGCAAGATGTCACTGGAATATTTTGTAGAAACAGTAATTTTATTTCGAGCGGGAGACGCTGTAATATTTGTAATGATGGCTATGAGGTAAACTAATTAAAAGACAGTTCTCCTAGAGGAAGAGTGTGGCTGAGAACAGCTGTGGCCGTTCCAAAACCAAGTGCCAGGTCTCGATAGAGGAGCAGCAGTCAAGTGGAAAATTCCTGCCTGACCTCTGCCCTTGCTATTAATTTGCAGGAAAACTAATGACACATATACATATTCCCACAAAATTGTTCTAATTGCTAATCTGCCAAAGGAGCCCAGATTCCAAATTTAACATGACTGTAGTCTGTGAGGGAAAGAAGAACAAAAAGCTGTAAACTCCAAACAGAGGGTGCTTTGCCTCATGAAATCATCTGAGGGCTGAACCAACAAGTTAATGAAATGTCAACCTTGTCAACTGCTATAGAAGTTTCTCAACTTTTCCACTTTTGTTTGATGATCACATGCTTGTCTTAAGGAGAAACCATCTTTGAGGGGGAAGGTCACGCGGGAGAGATAAGACGGAACACGGGGAAGGATTCAAAACAGGCTCTGCATTCAAACCAAACCTGCTCTTTTAATTAAGATCTCTCTGTAAAAAAGGGGACCCCAAAAAAGTAATTACAGACTTAGAACATAATAGCAAATCAGCAACGATGTGGGTTTTGCTGTAATCTTGAAATATTCATCTTAATTGTAAACTATTAAATCTTAATATAATCATCAATTAGAAATGAAAGCATATGTGCTTCGTGCGTCTGACTGTGGGTATGGTTTTAAAAGACAATTTTTTTCCGGAGCATGGAGCAGGAAGGGATTGGACTGGGAGGGTTTCTTTTCCTGATGGAAAGCCTATTTTTCTTATTGTGTTCATTTCTACGCCACCAGGGCTACTTGTACATTTTCTATTTAAAAAGAAGTTGCTATGTTTAGAAAAGTTAGTAACACTGATATTTTCTACATGGCAAGTTTCCATCATGGGATGATTTTCAGCAAAGATAATCTCTTTGAAACTCTGGCCAAAAGTTAAAATCTTATGTCACTTAAATTTGCTGTAGCATTTTATTTAAAAAAATTTTTTTGTGTGTGCCTTTAAGTATCGTCCTTTTCTCCATTTCAGTTACAGAAGGATTATTCTGGGAATGTTACCCACCCAAACTATCAGAATTGTATCAGCTGCCTAATATCCTGGTCCGTCCTTTTTTTTTTTTAAAAAAAATTAATCTGTAGTTTTTGAACAGTAACCTCCTCTCCCTTTTAGAGAAGATGAGTCACCCACATTTTTTTTAAAAAATAAACCGCTGATGTAAACCCCAGACAGAAACAGACTTGCTGTAAGTATTCCCAGAAGAACTCATTTTTGTTTTTGTTTGTGCTCTTGCCTCACATGAAAACAGATTCTGAGAACAAAAGGCAAACCTGAAACCAAAACACCAAGGGACACAGTGGCAGGCATCACAGGGACCTTCCAGGCTTACAGAACTTGTTTTTCTGCTGTTGCTTTTACTGGCCTGCGCAGGGCTCAAGACATGCTTTAACTGCATGACGTTTCTGGACATGAATCACTCGTGTTCAGAGGCTGCCTTTCTGAGGCCAAAGGGACATTACCAGACTGTGGGGAGGGTACGACAGCGGGTGGCAGCTGGAGGCTTTTGTTACGAGCCTTTGCCTCCTTGACGGTCTCGGCCTGGCTGTGTTACTGAATTACAGACGGGTGCTGGCAGAGGGCAATGGCCTAGAAAGTGGTGTTACTGGCAGTGATACTAAAAAAAGAGAAGAAAAGAAAACAACAACAACAAAAACCACTGGAG